TAAAAAATAATAAACAATTTATCTAAATTGAAAATTAAAACACAAACACTATTACATTGTCCAAATTGAGAATTAAAATACTGTTGCAATTTGTAAATATTTTCAAGTTTGGGAATGAATGTAAGAACATGTCATTCTAGGTATATAGAGTGGAGATAAAGTTCTAACAGTAAATCCAAAAAAATAAACCGTACATTCAATTAACATTTAACTCAAAGAACCAGTTATTTATGAAGAAATATGATCTTATTCAAGACCTGAAGATAAAATGTTGCATCTAAAGCATTTCTTAGACTGAAATTTTGAACAATTTAATCTGAAAATGAATTGCAAACTCGAAATATTGTACTTCAAGGATCCCACTGATAGTTAATTTCATAGTGGCAGTAATGTAGCACAGATTAGGAAACTTAGTCCCAAACTACCTACAATTGATTTTTCTTGAGTTTACGCCACTGATAAATTTATCACTGTAAAAAAGAATATTTGGTTGGATATAACAGTGATAAATTTATCAACCACTAACATAAATGTAATAAACCATCAACTCTTCCCATACAGTCAGTTATAAATTTATCATTCTTAAAAATAACAAAATTCAGCAACCCCATTAATGCTTGATTGTTTCCTTCAGACAATGGTAAATTTATCACTCCTAAAAAAACATAATCCACCAACTCATTCAAACCAACCAGAGATAAATTTACCACTGTACAAAACACCAAAAACATCAACTACATTTAACAAAAATCAAATAATATAATCTGTGAAACTTAATCTTGTAAAAATATCAACAAAAAATATAATTTTCGTTCTAAAAATTCCTCAATCATCCAATGCAACTATCGAAATGATTTATCTTTCAAAAAATACTCAAACATTCAATACAAGTAACACCTATTAACTCTCAACAAAAGCAATTCAATTAAAATCAATACAACTAAAGCAAGCTTCTTTACATGTCTTTCGATTATGAGTTCCCATTTTTCCACACCTACTGCACCTAATTCTCTTGATCCGCCCTTCGAAGGTATTCTCTTTGTTCTTGGACGTCCAACTGGTTTCTTACAAAGAGGAGGTAAAACAACGTCATCATCAAGAACTACATTTGGCTTCCACATACTAGGAACTGGATAGATAGAATGCGAATAAAAATTACAATAACTACGAAACATGGTAATCATCATCAAGAAAACAGTTCAGATCATTCTCACTCCTCTTTATAGCATAAAAACTATGTTTGCAAAGAAAAGAATTAATTTCCAACAATCGACAAGAACAAGATTGTTTCCCAATATCAACCATAACTGAATGATCTAATTGGATTTCATAAATATCATCGCTACATTTCTTAACTATCCATGCCTTTGTGTCATTAAAAGCTTCTTCCAACTTTTTCTCTGCAAAAGGACAAACAATATGATTCCACTTATTTCCAACTTCTCACTTTTTTGAAAATTGCTCCATTAGTTTCACCCGTATAGCATCAACAAGATTAGTTGAAAACAAATGGTGCTTATCCCTAATCCATGAATTAAAAGATTCTGTAGCATTTGTGCACATTTTACCATACCTCTTGTCTTGAAAATAAGCGTTACGCCAACACTCATTAGGCAAATCCTCAAGAAACTTCTGAACATTACGACCACAACGACCCTTAAATTCTTCAAATAGCCCATTAAACAACTCAATAGTAGGAGCATATGCACATCTACTAAAAGGAGTGAGCAAATATTCTTTAGATTCGTAACTCTTCACTAACAAATAAGTCTTCAAGTTTGTTTTCAAATGCATTGGACAAAAAGAATGATAAGAAAACGAAAAAACCTTAGCTAAAGCTTTCAGCAAACCTCCATGTTGATCAGTAACAAGCGTAATATCCCTTCCCGGAGTCAAAATAACAAATAACTTTGACAAGAACCAATGTCAATTGTCATAACGTTCACTATCAACAATGGCAAAACATAATGGATATAAACCTACAAGCAAAATATATACACATTATTTGTAACAAATAAAAAAGATTACAAAACAAAAGCAAAACGCAAAGTATATAACATATAGTACTAACCATAGATAACTTTAGCACTGTATTACAACAACAATTCAATAAAAACATACAACATATAGAATCAATGCATAATAAATTTATCACTGTATAAATATAAAAATTTAACAAAAGTATACAGCATAAATTTATCACTAATTGATTGACCATACTCAATAATCAACACTCTCCAATAACAAAAATGATAAAATTATCATTGTTTTAATAATAATAACAAATTGGCACAGAATATACCTTGGTTACTGTCTTTTTCCGTATCAGCCAATAAACAACCTTTGTGTCTTCCTTTCAAGAAAGTTTCATCAAGCATCAACACAGGCCGACAATACTTGAAACCATGAATACATGCCTCAAAAAACGAAAAACAGGCATTTGAAATGTCTTCCTTTACTATCAATATCAAATTCCATATCAAAAACACTCCTCGGATTACAATCATTAGTGGTATCAACATACCAACGAAGACCGTCAAATGAAGATGAATAGTCACCAAAAACAACGGGCTTGTTTGGTTTATATTTGAGAAACATGTTTTGAGATAAAAAGTACGAAAATTTGTTTGGTTTAGTTTTTTTTCAAAAGATGTTTTGAAAAATTATTTTGAGAGAGAGTTTTGGAAAAAATGATTGATTTGATGTATATAAGAGAGGGATTTGTTTGGAAAACTTGTAAACCAAACAAGTTTTTTGGTTTGACTGCTTTTGAAAACTTATTTGTAGAGAATTTTTTCCAAAATTTTTTGAGAAACACAAACCAAACAAGGCCAACATCTCTTGTTTTTTCAACACCCATCCAAGCTCGCCGATAAGAAACTTTTGTTCCATAATAGTCCTTGAAATCGCAAACCACCTCACTATCCGATATCAAAGCCTTATTACGAACCTCACTTGAAATTAGCCCACCAATCATACTCGAAGTCATCCTAGTATGTTTAATTGTACGAAAAGAAGATCCACACGTATGAACATCATCAAATTGTTTAATAACAAAAACTTTACTAGAATTTTCCACTCTAGCATACACGCTCCATAAACATCCCAACTCTTACAATGAATAGTGACACAATCCTTGTCATTCTTAACAAAATCAAAATCAAAAGCAGAATGAATAGAATACTTTGACAACGCATTTTGAAATTCAACAATTCCTTGAGCAAACCTTTGACTCACTCCTTTTATACAATTAACCCACCTATCGGAGAGCAAAGGTTTTCGTTGATTTAAATAAAATGAAGGCAAAAAATCAGTTTCACAAACAACACTACTACTACTACCAGCTTCACCATCACAAATCGTATAACCTCCATCCAAAGAACAACATTTAACAAAAACATCAATACGATGAATATTATAAGAAAGTGCGAGTCCAACCATAACCTCCAAATCCTCTTCACTTTGTAGACCATAATAAGAATGTACAAGCATTGAATACGATATATTCAAAGAACTACCAACTAACTCACTCCACTTTGCACACAATTTATATACTAAATCATTGAAATTAAATCCATCATTATACTTGATAACCAATGTCACACCTCTAAATTTGCACATAAGAAACAAAGAATTTTCCATCACTATAAATCTTGCACCAAACAACAATTATATTTTAGCAAACAACTCAAACAACCTAAAGCAAAATCTAATACAGTGATAGAATTATCAACCAACTCAAACACATCCAAAAACCAACAGTGATAAATTTAACAATTAATACTACCTAAGACCAAGAGCATGAACAGTGAATAAGGCTTACATTTATTGGGCATGGTAACTCGATTTGAATCTTACCATTATATTATGCAACTTTTTCATCTCCTATTCCTATACTCACTGATAAATTTATCACTATTGAAAAAGTTAATCCAACGATACCCTCAAACTACTCAGTGATAAAATTATCACTGTAGAAAATCACAAACCAACACCTGTGTTCAACCAAAACAATTTCGTGACAAAAAAAAATAAATTCTAATATTCATTACATATGCATATCTCAAAGCTTTCAATATCATGATAAAAATACAAATTCAATCGCAGAAACAACAGAATAACAACAATATCATAATTAAAATCAAAATCACAAACTCAAACTAAAAAACATCAAAACATCGAAATTGAAATCAAAATCAAACATACTAGTTGAGCTTCATCCACAAAATAGCAAATCACAAAATCTAACTATACACCAAACGCGAAATCACAGAACATGAAGATTCACAGATTTATAAAAAGCAAACCACAAATAGAGTTCCCTCCATGAGATCACAAATCGGAAAATCTAAATATACACAAAGTGCAAAATCACAAATCACGAAAGTCCACAATAATGCATTGCGAAGTTCCACAAAAATCCAAATCGCAAACCCAAACCCAAACCCAAACCCAAACCCACATTACAGTATTTGGATGCAAAAATCAAATAGAAACGTGCCAAAACAGGGGAAAACAAAACATGGGTAAAACAGGTACAAAAAAAAGACTCCAGGATCTATTGGTGCACAATATCAATATTCAAGACTAAGAAGGGAATAATTATAAAAAGTAGGACCGGCCAGTAAAAAGCTCTTATTTTTTTTTGCAAGAGGCCGTTAAACCCAACAACGGACTAGCCTAAGCCCATACTCGGGTCGGATCGGGCCATTTTTACACTCATAATTGTAAGGTTGTAGTTGTCGATGAACACTATTATTTTTATGAAAGAATTCTTTTATGCACCCCTTTTATTATATATACATATATATATTATTAGTTATGTTATTTTATTTTTCAATTATGATTATTTTTTTATTTTATTTTTTATAATATTATTTTGAGATATTTAATTATGATTGATTTGTATTTGGTTATAATATTTATTTATTTATTTTAATTATGAGTCAGAATTTACAAAATTATGCCATTGTTTATGAATCAAGCTGCTGCAATTTATTTGAATGAATAAGAGGCATACTTGAAGACGATGATGAAGCGAAGGTTGTATAATAATATACGTTTATAACATCAGGAAGGGCTTTCCCTCGGTGTTGATCAACTACATAGAAGTACATAGATGAGATGAGATGAGATGAGATCTGGGAATCGGTTGAAATCGGGTTTAGCTTGGATCTGGAAATCTGGCAATTAAGAATGGGAGTTGCAGTACCATCATCACCCTCACCATCTCCATCCGCAGCAGCCGATCAACAACGTCGGAATGGCGGTGTCGGTGTCGGAGGATACAGAGAGAAAGACGCGGAGTCTCTGTTCCGGACAAAGCCGATATCCGAGATCCGAAATGTGGAGTCGAGCACCAGGAAGCAGATCCAGGACAAGAGCGAGGAGCTCCGGCAATTGGTCGGAAATCGCTACAGAGATCTCATCGACTCCGCCGACTCCATCGTTCTCATGAAGTCCTCTTGCGAGTCCATCTCCGCCAATATCTCCGCCATTCACGACGGTATTCTCCTTTCCCTCTCCTCCGAATCCACCCCCAAATTGCTGGCCGCCACGAGCCCTAACCCTGCCCGAGCCAGGATTTACGGGATCGCCTCCCGGGTCAAGTACCTGGTCGACACCCCTGAGAACATTTGGGGCTGTCTCGACGAGTTCATGTTCCTCGAGGCAGCCGCTAGATACACCCGTGCCAAGCAGGTTCACCACTGCCTTATTGACATTAACAACGACAACACCATATTGTCCAATTTCCCTTTGCTTCAGCATCAGTGGCAGATTGTCGAGAGCTTCAAGCTCCAGATCTCCCAGAGGAGCCGCGAGAGGTTGCTGGATCACGCCCTTGGCCTCAGCATTGTCGCCTATGCCGATGCTCTTGCTGCTGTTGCCATCGTAGACGAGCTTCAGCCCAAACAAGTTTTGTCCTTGTTCCTTGACTCCAGAAAGTCGTGCATTTCTCAGAAATTACTCAATTGTTCCACGGCCAATACTAGTACTAGCTCTGATGTCATCTCTGCATTTTGTCAAGTATTGAAGATAATTCAGGTTAGCTTAGGCCAAATAGGGGAGTTGTTCTTACAAGTTTTGAGTGATATGCCATTGTTTTATAAAGTCATATTGGGTTCCCCTCCTGCTTCTCAACTGTTTGGCAGTATACCCAATCCCGATGAGGAAGTCAGGTTGTGGAAACTGTTCAGGGATAAGTTGGAGTCCGTAATGGTAACGCTTGAACGGGACTTCATTGCTAAAACCTGCTCTGATTGGTTGAAGAGTTGTGGCAAAGAGATTGTTAACAAGATTAATGGGAGGTATTTGATTGATTCCATTGGCAGTGGTCGGGAGCTTGCTTCAGCTGAGAAATTGATAAGGGAGACAATGGACAGTAAGCAAGTGTTGGAGGCTAGTTTGCCGTGGCTAAAAAATGTCTTTGGTTCTGAAATTGAATTGCCATGGAACAGGATTCGTGAGCTTGTTATGGAAGATGATGCTGATCTCTGGGATGAGATATTTGAAGATGCTTTCGTCCGGAGAATGAAAGCTATCATAGACTTGGGATATGAGGACCTGACCAGAAATGTTAATGTCACTGAATCAATTCATGCCATTGCTGAGGCTCCTGGCCATCGGGTTGATTTCCAGGCATACTTGAACAGATCTTATTTGGGTGGTGGGGTTTGGTTCATGGAACAAAATAGTAAGAAGGCTGGTCCTCTTGCTGGTTCCAGAGCACTGCCTGAGGAGAATGATTTATTTAGCTGTCTCAATGCCTACTTTGGAGCTCAAGTCAGCCAGATTAGGGATGCAGTTGACAGTTGCTGCGAGAGTGTTCTTGAGGATCTCTTGAGATTCCTAGAGTCTCCAAAGGCATCTTTAAGGTTAAAGGATCTAGCGCCATATCTACAAAACAAGTGTTATCAGAGCATTTCGGTCATATTGATGGAACTCAAGAATGAGCTTGAACACTTGTCTGCTGCCCTAGAAAAAGGCAACTCGGAAGGTCAGTCTGTGCCATCACCAGCTACAATTGTTGAGAGATCGCTATTCATTGGGCGAGTCTTGTTTTCATTTCAGAAACACTCAAGACACATACCAGTGATACTTGGTTCACCGAGGTTTTGGGTGAGTGAAACTACAGATGCTGTTTCTGGTAGGTCAGCATCCTTGTTGAGGCATTCTAGCATCACCATTGATTCTCCCATGTCTGATAGCCCGGGAAAGAAAAGGTTTGATTTCTCTAAAAGGAAAACCTCGCTACCTACTTCAGCTTTGTTTGGAGTGGATGATAATTCAAGCCCGCAACTTGAGGAACTTACTGACATGATACAAGATCTTAGCAATAGAGCTTACAACTTGTGGATATCATGGGTTTCTGATGAGCTTTCAGCAATTCTCTCCCGTGATCTAAGACAAGATGATGGACTATCAACTACAAGTCCCTTGAGAGTAAGTGGCCTCTACCCTGGAAAATACCTTTCATGTTACACACACATATATGTAAAAGCATTATGTTTTTTTAAGAATAAATTCATAATTTCATATCTTGTTCTGATTGATATTCTGACTGAGCTACTACTTGAATTTTGTTTCTTGGTACATCAAACGTGTTCATATTTTAATGCAGGGCTGGGAGGACACTGTAGTCAAGCAAGAGCAATCTGATGAGAGCCAATCAGAGATGAAAATATCACTCCCTGCCATTCCTTCACTCTATATTACCTCATTTCTATTCCGTGCATGTGAGGAAATTCATCGAGTTGGGGGTCATGTTCTTGATAAGCCAATTCTGCAAAAGTTTGCATTGAGATTGCTGGAAAAGGTATGCAACTTGCTTGTGTATTTGCTTTATTTTATCACCCATGTATAGTGATATGTCATTATTTTTGTCTAAGAAAGACGAACACTTCTAACAGGGTGCTGTGACAGTTCCCAACATGTATCAACACACACCCAAATGTGTCAATTTAAAAATAAAAATAAAAAACAATTTAGACCTGTACATGCTGCAAACACTTGGGGGACACAAATGCCTATCACTTATTTGACACACACGAAACACTTTATCATTGGAACAATGTAGATTTATACTTGTTAATCCCTCCACCTTTAGACTTTAGGAATTAGTGCTATGGTTCACTTTTTTATTATCTTTGAATGAAATATTCATACATATGATACACAATAAATATACAAACTATATATTTTGCATGTACCACCACATGTCATGTCTAGCAATTTTTAAAAATTGTTGTATTGGCATGTTTGTGTTTGTGCTTTTGAGGTTTGTGTCAATACTATCATGGTTCCATTGGAAGATTTATGGATATTCTTACTAAAGATCAGATCAGACCCTTAGACATAGTGATGTTTGTTCCGATTCCATTGAGTGGGGAGTAGGGATTTGCTTGAGAGACCTTTTGAGGAGGAGGTGCTTGAAGCACTTAGAAGCATCAATAGGGATCTATGTTGCGTTAACTCTTTTAAATGTATGAAGTACCGGTGTTGGACACTCAGCACTTAGGTAGTGTTACATGCATACTTGGACATTACCTATGCATGTTTTTTTTATCTTTTGGTAATTGTTTTGATTTCTGATTGTTCGTATAATTTTCAATTTTTAAATTGGCTGCATGATTCTGTGGTTTAATAGTAGTCATAAATTCTTCTTGTTTGTGTATTTTGGTTTGTTCCATCTAGGTTATTGGTATATATGCGGACTTCCTTTCAACTGCAGAGGCCCGTGATTCTCAATTGTCAGATAAAGGTGTTTTGCAAGTTCTATTAGACTTCAGATTTGTGGCTGACGTTCTTTCGGGGGGTGATTCCAATACAATTGAGGAGCTATCAAAAAATGTAAAGTCAAAATTTTCTCTCAGAAGGAAGCAGGATGTAAACCAGACCAAGTCAGTCATTAGAGAGCAGGTTGATAGCTTGGTAAATCGCCTTTCCCAGAGGCTGGATCCCATCGACTGGCTCACGTAAGCTTTTCTAGCTTGGTGTTATGATGTACCATAACTGAAAAGATATCTGTGATATGCTTACAAGTTTCCATGTTCTTTAACTGTGCAGTATTGTCAATAAATTAGGGTTTCTGGCTGCACAAAGTAATCTTCTAAGAAAAATAAATTTCAGTTTGGGGCCGACAAGGGCATTTTTGGCTCATACTTCTTGTTGTTTAAAGTTACACTCTTGTTGTTTAAAGTTACATTCTGAGTACACTATATGATGCTTGGTTGGCTAAAAGTGGTAGTGTTTTGTCCAGACAACATAGGTACCACAAAATGACAAAATCTAAAGGCTTTGTTTAGTTTGTGTTTTGAGATATTATTTCAAAAATAATTTTTTGGAGAGAGTTTAGAAAATTTGAAAATTTGTTTGGTTGTATATTTTGAAAATGGTTTTGGAGTTTTGGATTTTGGGATGATTTGATATTTTTTTGTAGTTGAATAGATGGGTGTGAGAGAAAAAGTGATTGAGAAGGAGAGATGAGAGAAAAAGTGAATGATTGATGTGTAGTAGAGAGAAAAGTGATTTTGGATTTTCTTTTTCTTTTTTTTTTTTAAATTTCAACAAAACATGTTTTTGAAATTTTTTCGCCAAAAACATGTTTTGAGAGACAAACTAAACATGCCCAAAATGTCTGGCTTTAAAGAAGGCGTCTAAGTTATCATCTATATACTCTGATAATATTGTTAATTCTCCCTGCACACTTCACATTATTATGAATATATCAATTTGCTGTTTCTGTATATTTCCATGCATGAACACCAAATTCTCTTATTTGTTTTCTTGAAAAAATTCATTGATACAAAAGGTTGTGATCTTTATACTACATTAGACTGAAACACTATTTCATGTTTTTCAGCTCCATTTCCATTTTTTGAGTTGTAAAAAAGAATTTAGTCAAAGACTACGGACTTCTGGAATTACTCTTACCCTCCATTTGGATTGTGAGATGTGAAAAGAAAAGAGATGATTAGAGTTTCTCACCTAGGTGAGAAAAGAAAAGAAATGATTGTGGTTTTTCACCTTCTTGTTTGGATGGACTATGATTAAAAGAGTAATTTTGGTTTCTCACCAAACAAAACTTATGTTCGGTGTGATTTGGCTTTCTTACCATTTCTCACCATTACTCACCTCATTAATCATCCAAACAAGTGATGAGAAATCTCATTCTCTCTATTTCTTTCTTTTCTCACCAAATCCCTCAATCCAAATGGAGTGTTAAGGTTTCTATTTGGCTTTTAAAGTACCAGAGCATCTTGAACGCTGACAGTAAGCCATCCCAATGATTCTAATACCGTACAATCTTGTCTTGAACTACTTGGCACTGGCCTCTCATCTGTTTTTTTGGGACAGTCAGTGCCAACTGTGACAGTCCTTTCCAAGAGAAGTGTGTTTAAGTTTTTTTTTGTTTGGTGGACTTGATGTTAAGTTGGTAAGTTCAGATGTTAACTCTTACATCACTTATCAAAAAATAAACAGTTCAGCTGTTAACGGTAAATTCTATTCACCTTGTTTGGTTCCAATTTTATGAAAAATTCGTTTTTTGTTTATCTCGTTTTTTGTTTTTAGTGATTTTTTTAATATTTTAAGTATTTTTTAGATACACTTAATATAAATACAATTAAAAAATATAATATTTGTGAAATTTTTTTGAAAAAAGATTCACTAAATGCCAAAAATATATATAAAAAAAAATACAAAAATTTAGTACATTTTCATATTCTTGTATATTTATTGATTTTTTTTTCAAATATTTTTTAACTAATATTTTACTTTTTAAGTACATCTAGGTTAGGTGCATCTAAAAAATAAATCTTTTTCTTAAAATATTTAAAAAAATTGACTAAAAACAAAAAAATGCAAAAAATAGAAAACTTAATTTTCAAAAAATTGAATTCATAAAATTGGAACCAAGCAAGGTGATTGTTTTTTGAGTTAAATATATCCATGGTTTGATCTACCTAACAGTAGATTTTACGGTAAGATGTGTGTCATCTGTAATATAGAATCTTCTGTCTGTGACTGTGTTCTCTTCTTAAAAGAATAAATTTCCCTGCCCTGATTTGATCATTGCTTCAAATTTATTTTTACTCTCTTCAGGTATGAGCCATACCTCTGGGAGAATGAGAGGCAGTCGTACCTGCGGCATGCTGTCCTCTACGGGTTCTTTGTTCAACTTAATCGGATGTATACTGATACTGTGCAGAAGTTACCCACTAACTCCGAATCAAACATTCTGAGATGTTCTACTGTTCCTCGGTTTAAATACCTTCCTATCAGGTTGATTTTGTTATCCTTCTAACATATTTTCTTTAAATACTTAAGCTGATTACATTATGTTTTTCAGTATCTCATCTGTGGTCAAAAAGCCAATCTAATTCCCTTTTTTTCTGTATCTTCATAGATGGTGTATATTTTCTCATTGACACTAACCGCCCTCACTGTATTTCTTGATTGATTGGAATTACAAACTTGGCATTTTTTCTTTCTTTCTATATGATATAAGACATACACATGGCATAATTGGGGCTTTTCTGTTTGTTAAATCTAATTGGCCTTCTTTCCCTGTATCTTCATAGTGGGTGTATATTTTCACATTGACACTGACCATCCTCACTGTATTTCTTGATTGACTGGAAGTACAAACCTGGCATTTTTTTTCTTTCTATATGATAAGACATACACTCATGGCATGTTTGGGGCTTTTCTGTTTGAATGAAAGTAAATTTTTAATCTCATATTGGTCGCCAGTGCTCCTGCATTGTCTTCAAGGGGGACAACTACAGCATCTATTTCAACTTCTAGGGATGATGTTTCTTCAAGAAGCTCCTGGAAAAGTTATACAAATGAAGAACTCTCTCGAAATATTGATATTGATGACGACTCAAGTTTTGGGGTGGCTGCTCCTTTCTTAAAGTCTTTCATGCAGGTAAAGCTTCCATTTTTTTTTTACACTTTTGTTCCCTAGGATGCTTTTTTGTCTCACAGTTTCAGTAGAATGTGTAGATTTTCTCAGTTTAGGTATAGCTAATGTTACCTGAAATTTAAAAAAAAAGGCCAAAGCCAGGAGTTTTATTCGTTAGGGGCAAAACAATGTATCCTTAGTTTGAGTACATCAGAGAGAATCTAATCTAGTGTAATATCACACATATTATTATTAAGTATTCATAGTTTCTTCCTTTTAAAAAAGATGAGAGAGGTCTGAGAGATAACATTTATGAGTTATATCCTTCGTGCATGTATCCACTAACATCAATTAGTCAGTTAAAATAACTTGAGCAACAAATTATAAAATTATTCAAGGTTCTATATAGGGTATCCCTTGTCTTGGATGTACATGGAAAAAAGGATTGGATTCCAAATATGGTTAACTTGAGCCCACTAATTAATTGGGCCCAATCGAAGCCCAAAATTTGGTGAGCTTTGAGAAATTATTGCCAAATGGGCCCAAGTGAATTCTATTGAATAAGTCCATAAGAAAGCCAACAAATTGGGCCGAGGAAGATCTATCAAACATATATCTCTAAAGAGAGTCTAACAAGCCCATCTAAGGAGGCTCAGATCATACGGGCGTCCGAGAAGGTTAACCGTTGTTTTCAGAAGAGATGAAATCCTCGGAGGAGATCCATTCTCCAAGGTATTGGCTTAGTCTTGAAAGGGTTCGGGACCATGAATCTAGAGACCTATTTGAGTTCGAACTCGAAAGGGTTCAGATCCACGAACCTAGAGATCCGAAGCGGTTGATTTCGAACGGATTCAAATGCAATCCAGAAGTCACTCTATTAATGAGTCGCAGAACACTTGCGGGCTCGGAACTTTTCGAGATCTACGCACCAGAACCATGGGCGTGATTGAGTCCGAATAAAGGACCCGATCCTGAGGACGGTGAGTGGGGATAAATTCACTCTTCGATTAAACTAGCCTATACCCAAGTCGAGGTGGCACGATCTAGGGAGTCCCTGAGACTCGACAATATTTGCAGTAGGACATTCTCTTGAACTATCCCTGATCCTTCTGCGGCAGGACGTCCTCTGGGGCTATCCTTGACCCCTTGGGATGATTGAGGATCATTGGTTAGGTGTGGCTAAGAAGAAGGGTTTGCCGAGAGGTTGATCTCCTCTTTGAGGGTTTTCCTCATCCTCGGAGAGGTCACCTCTTTGGATGAGGTGGTTAGAGAAAATATTCCCCATGTGCCTTGCACATGGGCTCCATCCTACATCATGAGGTGCCTATAAATAGCACCCACCCATAGCTTTACAAGGGTTGGATTTTGGAGACATTTCTTGGGAAAGAATTAATTTTCCTTCTCCATTATCTACCTTGAGAGTGAAAGTGGGAGATCCATGGGAGAGTCTTGTCATTATTCTCTCTCTAACTACTTTGCCTTCTTCTTCACCCAATTTCTTATCTCCATCATCTCTTTGCTATTGTGTTCATAGTTGTGACTGTTGAAGAATCTAAGTCTCTCATCCTTTCTAGATAATTCAAGTTTTCTTCAAGGATTTTCGAAGATATTCTAATTTTCTAGACCGCATTCTTGAACCCTCTCATACATACGTCCTCTGAGACTACCCCTGACCCCTTGGGATGATTGGGGATCATTGGTTAGGTGTGGCTAAGAAGAAGGGTTCGCCGAGAGGTTGATCTCCTCTTCGAGGGTTTTCCTCATTCTCGGAGAGGTCACCTCCTCGGACAAGGTAGTTAGAGAGCATATTCCCCATGTGCCTTGCACATGGGCTCCATCATATATCATAAGGTGCCTATAAATAGCACCCACCCATAGCTTTACAAGAGTTGGATTTTGGAGAGACATTTCTGGGGAAAGAACTAATTTCCCTTCTCCATTATCTACCTTGAGAGTAAAAGTGGAAGATTCATGGGAGAGCTTTGCCATTATTCTCTCTCTAATTACTTTGCCTTCTTCTTCACCTAATTTCTTATCTCCATCATCTCTTTGCTATTGTGTTCTTAGTTGTGACTGTTGAAGAATCTAAGCCTCTCATCATTTCTAGATAATTCAAGTTTTCTTCAAGGATTTTCGAAGATCTTCGAATTTTCTAGACCACATTCTTGAACCCTCTCATACATTTGGCGACTCCATTGGGGAGGCGGATTAGTTAATAGTCTTAACAAGATCCGGAATCTACAGAGCTCCGGTGAAGATGGCGAGAGAAGAAGGAGTTCATCAACAAGGCTCTTCCAACGGTGGTGATGAGAGGACTCAAGTTCAAGACACACCTCTCATCTTTCAAGCCATGCAAGGACTCCAACACACTCAATAAGAGATTCTCATGACCCTTCAAAATCTCACCCACACCATGTTGGTGATAGGTTCAAATTTCGCACCACCAACAAATGGAGGTCAAGTCGGCGCTGAAAAGCATCAACAACTTCATGGTGATGTTGGGAATGGTCAAAACCATCAAGACCCACCCCCAATTCTCCCTGAAGTTGCTCAAAATGGTGTGCAAAATCAAGTGCTAGGAGGAACAAGTCATGGTCAACCTGTGGCCCATGGAGCGCAAAATCACACACCTAAAGGATCGAGCCATGGTCCAGCGATGTTTGGAGGAGTTTACAGCGCGATGAATGGTGTTCCAGCAGCTGTGGAAGTTCAAGGAAGGCCCACAGAAATTTCTCTACAAAATGGTGCTCTATCCATGCCAAATTTTGTTCCACCGATTGTAAATTCTACTAATGTATTGAGTGGGTCTCCTTTGGCTTTGACAATGGTTTTCCAAGCCCAACCCAGCATACCCATAGCATGTAACGGAATGTATGGAACTCAATTCAACGCTCCATCACCGAATGTTATATCCATAGATGCCAATGGTCAATATCACCACATTCCTACACTGATGGTGAATTCTCAACACCCAAATAGCCAAGTGGCTCCAGGCTTGGTCTTCGGGTCTACAAGCCAAGTTTCGGGAATACCACCATCAAGTTCTCTCCCTCAACAATTTCTCACTCTCGCCGATGTGCAAGCCATGTTCGATCTCGAATGGGGCAAGAGGACTTTACCCTTTTTGCCTGATCTAGATGTTAAGCCGCCATACCCTATCGAGATGTTGAGTTATCCATACTCGGAGGGGTACACGGTGTCGAAGTTCATCAAATTCGATGGCAAGCAAGAAAATGCTTGAGAACATGTTGTTCGGTTCATAGAGACTATGGGGATTCGTGGTTCAAATCATGTCCTCCGACTGAGAGAATTCTCCAAGTCCCTCACCGACCGAGCATATAGTTAGTACGTTAACTTGGCCCCAAACTCTATCCGAAGTTAGGAAGAGATGGTCGACAAATTCCATGCCAAATTCTTTCAGGTAGCCGAGAAAGTGACCACACTTACCCTGTGTAAGGAAACGCAGCGAGAGGGTGAAGATATTCTTAAATATATGAAGAGGTTCCAAGACAAAGCCGTGGATTGTCACAAGGCTGTAAAGGAAAGCTACTTGGTCCGAATCTGTGTTGAAGGGGCATTGAACGAGTACAAAATGCTTTTGTTAATCACAAGTTACCCACCTTCTCGGCACTAATTGAAACATCTCGGAACATCAACATACCTTAGTCTCAAGAAATCGGGTTCGAGACTAGTTATAAAACTAGCTTCAAGAAGTCCCGAGGACCTTTTGTCATTGTGGCTTCCGCATCTTCCACCCGAAAGCCGCAGGGGGAGGAATTCAGAGGTCAAAAGAGGAAAAACTGCGAAGATAACACTCATTTTCCTTGTAGTGTTGAAGAGGTGAAGGCCTTAGTTAAAGAATGGGTGGTAGATGGGGAATTGAAGTTGCCTCATATCGAAGGGATTTTGCCAAAGAAGGACCGCAAGGGCCCTAATTATTGTGTTTTCCACCGATCACTAGGGCATCCTACAGAAAAGTGTCGGACGCTTAAGAAGATCTTTATAAAGAAAGTCGAAGCAGATGAGCTAGAATTCAAAGAACAAGGGCCCCAAGATATCTTAAAAGACGTGTCTATGATGGCGTATGACGGCCACAACCCGAGCAGCCGGTGAAAGCTTTCTAAATGACCTTGCAACTCTAGGGGCAAGGGTCGACATTCCGTAGAAGAAGTTTATCTATGACATTTACAATTTGTATTTACGACATTGTCCAAGAAGTTCTATCTTTCTTATGTTATGAAGAAATTTGTTTCCTCTATATTGTGTATCTTAATTAGAAGTTATTTTTTCTATATTGTGTATCTTCATTGTGTTATGTTGCTTGAGGCAGTTTTCATTTTTGTTGCCCCTCGAAGAAGAAAGAGGAATAGTAGACTCGATTACCAACCTGAAGGGACCTTTCTTGACGTAGTAGAAGTGTACTCTCACTCGGACTTCCGAGGGATAGCCTTTGCTTCCATTGATTGTCAAAGAAAATAGTGTACATGCACTCAGACTTTCGAGGGACAGCTTTGCCTCCGCTTAGACTTCCAGAGAGCAATCTTTACTTCCATCAGTGCGAGCTCTTGAAGAAGAAGGAGGAGTAGTACACTCGGTTGCCAGCCAGAAAGGATCTTTCTTGCCAAAGAAAGAAGTGTTCTCCCACCCGGACTTCTAAAGGACAGCCCTTGCTTCCATTTGGACTTCTGAGGGACAACCCTTGTTTCCATCAGTACGAGCTTCGAGGATCTTTCTTGTTGAAGTAGAGTGTGTACTCCCACTCAGACTTTCAAAAAACAGACCTCACTTCCATCAATGCGAGTTTCAAGGATCTTTCTTATTGAAGTAGAGTATGTGTTCCCACTTGGACTCTGGAAGAACAGCCCTCGAGACTGGGTTGCCTGTTAGAAGGGATCTTTCTTGTCGAAGTATGGTATGTGCTACTATTTAGACTCTTGAGGGACAACCTTACTTCTGTTCGGACTTCCAAGGGATAGCCCTTACTCTCATTAGTGCGGGTTCTTAGGGCCCCGAAGTCGTGGCTT